TGCACCACACAGGGAAACAGGATAGAAGAAGACAAACAAGAAATTAAAGAACAGAAAATCCTGAATTTATTCTGTTTGCTGATCAAAGGGAGATTTTTGACAAACCGTGGAGAAAAGTGGATTCGTGGTGAGCTATTTCTTTCCTGTTTCCTGTGCGAAGTGACTATGAAAATATGGAATGAGCGCCACAGAGCGGTTCTTTTACGCCCTACTCACATCATCAAAAGAGCCAGCTTTCATTGGCTGTTCTGAAATGTTTTCGTTGGCACCTCTCATTCAGTCAGGTGTGTGATGTCCTGTTACCGCCCAAGGTTTTCAATTGAGGTACTTTGTAGCACCTAAAATTCCGGTCGGTGTGTTTAGGCTTTTGTTCTACGTTCCCCAGGGCAGAATAACAAGAAAAGAATAGCAAGAAAACAGTAAATGTGAAGTTTGTTGTATAATTAAGTAAACAAGTGTTAAGTTCAAAACGCTCCGTGTTAAAAGAACAAATGTTTCACAAAAGGTGTGGCCACTGTGATGCTAACATGGGAAACGCTGGCTGTTTTCAGCTCTTCATTTTTTGCTACAATTGAGGAAATATTACGTCACAGTCTCCACGTATTTGGTAATGTCGCAATGAAAACGCTTTACGGAAAGACGTCATAGCGTAGACGATGGAAAACGTGACGTAATCCATGACGTTTTGCAAATCGTGCGGATTGTGTACCAACACAAACCGAACCAGAACCATCTGAAATAATTTGTTATTTGGTTCAAAGAGTGACCACACCGTCAGAAATAGCGACCTGCTTCCAAACACTTTGCTCTGCTTTAACAGATTACACCCTCTGGCCGTTCTGGGTCGACACTCACGTTTCTCCACCATTTCACATTGACGATACGTAGGTTTCTGATTCTTTCTTCTCTTTTGTTTGCTGGAGCTGCATGTTTATAATAACGATAATGTCATTCCATCCATATCACAGAGGAAAAGTGAGGGATTCCAGGCGGGATTCAGTTCCCATCTATCGAGACACTGAAAAGATTCTGCAGTCTCTCCACAGTCAGGGAATCAAGATCGGCATCGCGTCAAGGTATCTGCCATTGTTCTCCGGGAGCATACATGGATTACATACAAAATCTGTACAAAATCTTACCAAAAAAAATGTAAAATCTTTTAAGCATAGACAAGGGAGAAGCCAAGTGCTGCAAAATGAGTTTATTTAACGAAAAAATAGGAACATAAACGCCTCTAGAGAACAACAGCTTGTGTGCTTTCCATCCTGTTCTGTACCTTTGCAGGGCTCTAGAGTGCGACCAATATGGTCGCATATGTGACCTAATTTCTCAATGGTGCGACTAAAAAAAATCAAAGGTTGCACCGGTGCGACCCGTCGTTCGAGGGGAAAATAACGAAACTCCCTGTTGTTTAACAACAGACACACATTAGGCCCATATCGTGGTCTGAACCAATCAGAGATAGTGAAGAGCGTATCCCGTTCCACCCCCCCCCCTCTGATTGGCCGTGGTCCAGATATTCCTGTATGTGTGTGAACGTACGTTTGAAAATGCTTGTGATGCAGTCAGACAGAGAGAGGTGAGTCCATCAGGTAAACAGTGGATGTAGCCGTGGATTACGAGAGAAGATGAAAAGAACAATTGACAGATTTTTCATTAAGAAAGATAAGTTAGGGCCTGATCGTGAAAATCATAACCAATGCTCTGACACGGAGCCATCAACCTCCCCTGTGACTGGCTCTAATACATTTAGAATTGAAACTATAAACTTTTCTATAAAACACATAACATGCCGCGATAAATGCACCGCTCAAGTGTCCCCTCTCCCCGCTGCCTTTCAGCGGCAGGCAGCTGCAAACAGATCATCAGACGAGGCCGAGATGAGAATTAAGTTTTACGTTGCCTACAATATTGCAAAAGAAGAACTCCCCTTCACTAAATTCAAGTCCGAAATAATTCTTATGAAGAAAAATGGCTTGAACGTTAACCCGACGTACAGCAATGATGTCACGCGCACCCAATTTATAGAAGTCATCGCAGATACATTGAAAAAAAAGACGTCTGTGCAAATTGTGAACAGTGCGTACATGGAATTCCTGATCGACGGAGACACATATATCACCACAAAGGAATGCATCATTGTGTACAGTCGTATCTTGCGGAAAGGAAGACCGATGAATATATTATTGAACACAGTGAGGTCGAGCACGCTCATGCCCAAGGTAAGCCATGTCATGTCATGGAGCCTATGTCAATAATATGCCTACCGTCTCGTTACTGCATTAACCATAATATTCTGATATTTAAAAATGAAAAAAATTAAAATAAATAAATAAATAGGCTGCATTATAAACTCTTGATCTTGGTAGTAAATGGTATTATCGTTTTTATTTGTTTAATTAGGAATTAATGCTGCTTCAAAGAAAGCATTTGCTGCTCTTGGGGACCAAAATCAGTTTAAATTACCTTTTCAGTAAGTTTTCGTTACCTTTCTTGTAGAATTGTGCTTCAAATAAAGAACTTTATATTGACCAGGTTGTTAGTAAATCATTTACAAGTCAATATTGTCTATATGGACAGTGATTTAAAAAAAATAGATAACTAAAAAAAGTGAACTTGTGAAAATGAAATGTTAAAAAAAAAAAATTTGGGTGCAACTAAGAAAAAAATTTAGGCGCACCAGTGCAAAAAGTTGGTCTAGAGCCCTGCTTTGGCTATTTTTTCATACCTATTTGGATAAAGCAGGCCAAGGTTGTTCTTTTCTCTGATTGGAAAGAGAAGCATGGCATGACAGCCTGTCGATCGCTGACTGGTCAGTTGTTGAGCTCACATTGTTACAGTGTGTGTGTAGGGCTGGGCAGTTTGGCAGTTTATTTTTTATTTTTTTATAGAACAAGTCTGTGTAAAACAAACAATTCACCATAATGTTAATGAACAAGTTGAGGCAAGGCGTATTTATCGTGCATGGAATGCATATCAGACGAGCTGTCCACGAAAGAGCACAAGAGCCAGGAACCCAGAGACCTCTGTGTAGTGAAGGAGTGGAGGTGGGGTGCCAGCGGGAGCCGGATAGAGACTAAATAACGTCCAGTGATCAGCTGTGAGTAAATAGTTTTCTATCACATGTTATATTATAGCAGCTGTTTGATAACTTTAGCTACAGAAAGCAAGGGAAAAGTGCCGTGATTGCCCCCCAGTGGACGGCTGCAGACAAATCCACCTCCCCAATACAAACTCTCGTGTTGAACAAAACTTTAATGTTCCCTCTTAAATTTCATTATTCACACAAATGATTTTTTATTCATAGGTCATTTAAGCTCCTAATGATCAAATTCTTGTTTCTGCAACAAAATGAGTAGTATATAGCGTCGGAGTGAACAGGAGAGAGCTCTGTGTGAACTCTGTCTGTCATGGCCGTGCTCTAATCACTCTCACTGTGTCCTCAAAACACTGGGGGCGGAGTCACGTCGTCCATATTTTTTTCAGTCATTGGGTAAAACGCATTCAGGAAAGGAATTATCCTCCACAGAAAATACACAAAAAATACAGAAAATTATAATTAATACCAGAGGTGTGGACTCGAGTCATTAATGTGACGAGACTCTACCTGACAATATGACAAAAGACTTGTGACTGGACCTGGCCTTGACCCCTCTGACTCAGAAAGAAATAATTCATTCGTGTTGCACTCTCTCTCCGCTTCAGGACGTTTCTGCATTTCTAATATTTGTTTTGTGTCAGTTTTTAGATTTTAGCAGAAGCTGTTTAATTTACATTGACAATTAAATCTCCGTTTAGTAAAAGGATGGCACGGTGGGTAGCACTGGGTCCTTCCAGTTTCGTCGGAGTTTGCATGTTCTCCCCGTGCTTGTGTGGGTTTTCTCCCGTCTCCCCCACAATCCCAAAACCACGCGATTAGGTTAATAGAATAATCTAAATTCCCCTTAGGCGTGAATGTGTGTGTTGCCCTGTGATGGACTGGCGACCTGTCCAGGGTGTACCCCCGCCTCTCACCCGATGTGCGCTGGAGACCCCTGTGACCCTGAAAGGGAATAAGTGAGACATCTTTAGAAGACAAACTGTAAGCTTCTGTTTTCGATCACCTGCTATACCTTTCATCATAATCAGCAGTATTAACGAATAATCCCACAGTAATTACTTTTACAATAGTGCATGAACAACTGAGAAGCTTATAGTAATTGTCAAAGCGCTTGTTTATATTTGTTAGTCAGTGGATGCAGAAGAGGGAGGAGAACTAGAGTCAGATCATATAGCTGCCCATTTCAGCCCTTCAAAAGCAAACTCTACATGTCTGTCAATTTACTCGACTTGGACTTGACGTCTTCGAATCCCTTTGCTTCTCCTTTCTTTGTATTTTAACAGTGTGTAGAAAAAAACATTTACTGCTAGCACATGAAAAGAGTTTACGAGTCGACTATCCTGGTTGCCATGCGCATATACAAACCACTGTCCAATCAGAGGAAAGAGCCGGAGGAGCCCTGCCCACTTATCCAATTGTTTTAGAAGTGGCATAAATCAAGCGAAACATTACGTAAAGATGGACAACAATGTGCTATAACAAAAATTAGACTCAAGGTGTCGTAAAAAAACATGTTTATTAAGTGGAAAGTGTTGTTCTGTAGCGCACGTTAGAGCAGAAACTCATGTGACAAACAAATTTTGTTTCCAAACAGCAGTTTCCACTTTATAAACGTAACTGTTTTAGGACACCTTGACTCTGTGATAGAAAATGATAATAATGTTATTCAGTTCCGCTAAAATGAAAGTGAAAGTGAAGTTAGGACCAAGTATGGAGTGACCCATACAAGGAATTTGTGCTCTGCATTTAACCCATCCAAGTGCACACACACAGCAGTGAATAAACACACCAGGAGCAGCGGCGTCCGGGGAGCTGTGGTAACTGGTGACTTGCTCAAGGTCACCACAGTCATGGTTGTCTCAGGAGGGAGAGAGTTTCAACACTCATCCCACCTTCATCTCCCAGTGGCGCTGGGAATCGAACCAGCGACCTTTTGATCTCCATATCCACTAGGCCACTAGTGATCCATATCAATCACCCTATCCACTAGGCCACGACTGCCACATGTGCTGCTGTGTCTCTGTGACTCGTGAAATTAAGTGTTTCCTGTGGGGGGGACCCTATATAGATAGTCGCCCCTTCTCAAAAGTCCTCTTTCGGGGATCTGCTCCATGCAACGTGGACAGGACTGAAAGCTGCCCAAAATGCCTCCCGGCCACGACTGAAATGCTTTTCTGATTATCCCAATGCAGTAATAAATCTGTTTCCTTTCTGTTCATACCATCCGTCTCTTGAGTCTTAAATATTAATGTGATAATTTATTAATTCAGTAACAACTCAAACTTTATTAAGCCACATTATTGATAATCTACCACAATATTTTGCTTGATTTAAATCAAAAGCCTTCTGTCTGTAAATGGGTGAGGGGAGACCTCGTGGCTAGAACGCGGGTGAAGGATTTAACAGCCAGAAAAATCTATATTTTTAATGTAAAAATGTCTACATCCCTATAATCTGACACACCTGAACTTCACAAAAACAAATCGTTCTGTCTCTTTAAGAACCAGCGAGACGGAGGGAGCCAATCAGCTGCTGTCACTCTACAATCTGAACCAATACATCTCCTTCAAGGAGATCTACCCTGGGTCAAAGGTCACGCACTTCAAACGGTACAAAATGGACTTCTAAAAATATGTCCCCCTCCCCCTCCCTGACTCATCCGTCTACTGCTGTATCTCTAGGCTGAAAGAGGACAGCGGCGTCCAGTTTTCAGACATGATGTTCTTTGATGACGAGGACAGGAACATTGTGGAGGTCGGGAAGCTGGGTGAGTTCACTCGACTGATCATCTGTCAATATTTCTGTCGATAGAACAATTCTCGCGAGAGAAACAAGTGTTTGATCTGCTGCAGATTCTAAATGCTTTCCCAGAGACACAGGGTTAGCATTTCACAGCTACAAAGATTTCTGGCTCCAGGTCCTGAGATCTGCTCTCAAAGAAGTTACATCTGATAGAAGACAATCCCCAACAGAAACCATCCATCATTAGATGTCCACATCTCCATCATGGAGAACATAGAGCTGTTCATGGAGATCAGGGAGAAGCTACCAGACTGTCACAAGCAGCTTCATGAGAAGATGAATGAGATCAGTCTCCCTCGGTCTGAACCTCCAGCAACATCTACCTCATGGAGTTTCACTGATCATGAGAGCTGTGAAGAACCAGCTCAGAACTTCAAAGAAGAGGAACATTTGGAAGAACGAGAAGATCCCCTGCTCCAGAATGTTCAGCCATCTGAAGTTTGAACATCTCTATTAGTCAGAAGAGAACTGGTGAAAGTGTGGAACTCACTGAGGAGGTGGAAGTGTTAGAACACAAAAACACCATCTCCACCATTGGAGACATTGTGCTTTTGGGGTGTTCTTCTATCAAGGACAACTGAACCCCATCAGAGGGATGATGGACAGGCTAAGAATCATCAGATCTCAGGAGATGCTCCTTCCCTCAGCAGAGCTTTGACTTGAATCAAATGTATTTCAGCATGACAATGACCCTAAACACACAGAGGAGTGGATCGACATGAAGGTTGTAGAGTGTTCAAGTCTCCAGACCTTAATCCTGGATTAAAGAAATCTGGAGGCAGGTGAAGGTTTGAGTCACGAGTTGGATCTAGAAGAAAGAATGAGACATGATTCCTCCTGATATCAGAGCACACAGCAAACATCTCACCTCGAACTTAGCGAAGTACACGCGAAAACAAAAACGCTGCTTAGCTGCGACTAGCTCAAGTTACGTTTATTTGAAAACCGTGTTCATCTGTTTACAATTTATTCCATAGTTTTTCTCATTTATCAAAGTACAGTGGTTCCTCGAGATACGAGTGCTTCGAGTTATGAAATGTTCGAGATGGGAAGGGTCTCGCAGGAGATGCGAAAAACACCAACAGTTTTGCTCTTTTATCTGCTTGTTAAATCTGACCCAGTGCTCCATTCTCCCAGTGCAGACCAGCTCAGAGTACCACTGTATTTATCGACGGTTCAAATGTAATCCCATTAATGACCTGCAGGGTGAACATTAGCATCATCGCTCTTCTCAATGTGAGCTTTTCCCGCTCTTTCAGGTGTGCACTGCGTGCTGGTGTTCGATGCGATCACCTTGCAGCTGGTTAATGAAGCGCTCGAGAAGTTCAGCGGGAAGCAGTGATGCACGCCGGGCCTGGAGAACAACGAACATCTGCGTGTCTCCGTTCAACCAAAAGCAGATTTACGATTTCAAGAATTTCATCAAGAGTTTGTACTGAACTGCTTCCTGTGCTCAGGTTCAGCAGCGGACGTCTCAGTTCCTGAAATCAGAACCTTTTTGTTCCCCGTCGTGTCTTCTGCTGTTATGGAGTCGTGTGTATATATAATATATAGCTGTTTAATGACCAACTCCGTTCTTATTTTTCTGTAAAAGAGAGTGGAGAAAGACAGGAAATGAAGCGGGGGTCGAGAGAATGTCTCTTCGCCACAGAAGCTAGACATAACCCTAGAAAACCTACTGGAGCTTCGGCGGCACCGTCACTTTGAGATGAACACATACGATAATCCATAGACATAATGACATAGAGCACAGGTGCCCTCTCCACAGAACATGAACTCCTGTGTGCATATCACCACATATATATTCTTGAATTATTGGATGTAAGAGTTGTTTTGATGTTCAATCTCAAACCTGTAAAAACTCTGAAAAGGAACAACGGCTCGTACCTTTTACTGGTACCTACCTGCACTGAAAAGATTCATCTGTTAATGTGCTGCGTCTTTAATTTAAAGATATTCTGTACCATTGAGATTTATATTTATACATTTATTAAACATGCGTCCTTTATGTATTTCTCTTCTTTTTTTCAATCTTACGCTTTTGTTTTGTGGGGCGTGAGCCGAGAGTAAAGAGCAGAACCTCAGTCTATTTCTCGCCTGGCATCACATGATCAGAATTTATTAACTAAGCATTTCTAACAAACTAAACGTAATATTATAACACCGTGTTAAAGAAACATTGTTAAAATGCGATAACTACATTATTTCTGAAGCTATGTAGGAATAATGGATTTCTAAGTGTGATTGCGGATAAACGAAATGATAAATTAAGGCAATTAATTGAATGAAACATGTTTAAGTAAATAATTCTAATTTGATTATTGCTACATTGTTTGCTCTGTTATTTATTTATCTATTTTTTGCTGTTTTATATTTTCTGTTTCTCAATTTTTTTCTTTGGTTCTGCCTTAATTTATTTTATTCTTTGCTCTGTTAGTTTTGTATGTACTTTTTGCTCTTATTTTCTCTTGCTTTTTGCTCTATTTTTTTCTATATTTTTCTCTTTTTTTGGTGGAAAAAAGAACATTTTCAAGTTTTTTTTTCTTGCTCATTTTTTAGCTCCATTTTGATTTTTCAGTTTTATTTTGTGTATATTTATGTTATTCTTGCTCAATTTTTTGCTCTTATAGCTATTTTCTAGCTACTTTTTTCACTCCATTACTTTTTTGTGATCTATTTTTTTGTGATCTGTTTATTTTTGCAGCCATTTGTACCTCCTTTAATTCATTCTTTTCTCAGTTTTTTTTTTGTTCCACTATCTTTTACAGCTATTTTTAGTCACATTTTTAAGCTCTGTTATATAAATAGTTTTAGATGCTATGTATTTTTTGCATGTGATTATTTATAATAGTAATGACAATGGTATTTAGAGCTTGAGGTGATAAAACAGTTCTGGAAACATGTCTTCTCATCACTATATAAAGTTTTGAAGTATATAAAACCAGTAGATTTATAAACGTGCATTCCTCAAAATGCATTATTTGTGCTGAGCAGAACTCGAATCAAGTGGACGGTGAGTGACGATGGAGAACGTTTGGAGCGAGGCACTCTTTAATAGCTGCTTTTAAATTATGCCATTGATGTATTTTGGGTTTTTTGTGTCGTTCTGAATAATTGAACATCGTGGCTGCATCGAGAAAGGTCTAAAAGCTCACTGGCCTCGTTTCTCCTTCACCAAATGGTGTTTTCCAGCGTACGGTTATAGTTGGTAACAGGGATCCCGACTCTCTTTCCCCTGAAAGCCTGAATCAGTGTCGCACTGACGAGCTGTTTAGATAAAAGCAGATAGTGCCTCACATCATACAGTTGAAAAGACATCTGCCCTTGATCTGCGTCTTTCCTCTCATCCCCAAGTCTTTAAAGAACTCCCTTTTCTTCTTCCTCTCTAAAATGACAGCAGTAAAAGCGTGGGGACTTTTATTTTTGTCTCTGAACATCCCACGCAGTTGTCCTCTTCACAAATGCAAGTCGTGCAGATTATAGTTTGCACTAATGTTTACTTAAAAGAGTAGTTCATCAGGTAGAACGTGATGCTGAGGGCTTGTTTAACTCCTGGTCGTATTCAAAATGATTGTTATCCGCTTATAAAAACAAATCGTTGCAATTAAACGAGCCAAACACACACTTCTGTGCAATAATATTTAACAAAGATCACCGTGGACCATTTATTATACATCAGATGACGGTTGAAACATAGTTTTACAGCAGTTCACTGTACATCACACTGGATTGTCACGGTTTTGGGTCGAGTTATACATAAACATATCGACAGCTTCATTATTAAACAAACTCAGCCCAAAAACCTCGTCAGGAACAATATTTACACTTGTACAAAAAGCTCAGCTCAGATCGACGTGTCAGAGTCTCGTTGCATAGGTCTTTCAGGGGGTCTTCCAAAAACTGTATTTTAGCTCAAATCTTTCAAAGGTGCCGTCACACCTGAATTAGTTTTCTCTTCTCTGAACGCATCGAAACAAAACTGATTAAAGTTCCAAACTGATTTAAACTATAGAGCTAGACGCAAGGAGTGCCTTGTTTGAACCAAATCAGCTTCTGTAGGCATCCTTGTCATTGCGGGATGATGCTGTCCCTTGACAGATGCAGAAATCTTCAAGAACTGGGCCATCATCTTGAGGTAAGATCAAGCAACATTATACTGGACTCCAGTACAGCAGCGCATTCATTTTAAACTGGTAACA